GGGAAGAGGCTGGGTAATGGTGGTCGGGTAGTGCGAGCTTTTAGCCTAGCATGGAGTCCTCCTCGCCTGCCCCATTTGCGTCTCTGTATCCGGGTCGTTCTCCTGATTTCAGCCTGCTCGCTTGTGCCTGGTGCTCCGGGGGCTCCCCGAGGGCGATGGTGGGTGTCCTCGCCATTGTTGTTATTTTCACTGGAGCGAACAATGAGTTGTAGCTCCGGTGGTATGAAACCAGTAAATTCCCAGTGGCTTTGTGAGTTGGCGATATCCAGCAATGCCTGTCTGTTGTATGTAAGCAGTGCATGACATTTGTGCACTGCAGAAAAAGCAAAAAACACACAAAAAAGAAGAAAACGAAGAAAAAGCCGGCATTCAAGAGTGGAACGCGCAAACACGTTCGCCTCGGTGGGCGCCATAGTTAGCTTCCTTGGCTAAAGTAAGTTAGTTTCAGTACATGTTAGCCACATTAGTAACTTCTTTACTTTTAAAATAGGCAACACTCTGCTATTTCTATTGTTACCATTCACAAGAATTACTCCTCTACAACATTATAGCCCATTTCATGTATTCATTGTGGAGGCTAATCTTACTGATGGCTGTAACTACCTTGCTGAGTTAAATTCAAAGAGAAATATCCAACCAGCTGTTTGATTAGCTTGGCAATCCTGCTAATCACTTACAGTCCACCAAACATTGACTGTTGACAGGTCATTCCTGCGGGCAAGCTCACATTTCATTTTGATTTCAAGTCACCTCTCCGGTATTTCCCAGCACATATAACTCACCGTTGCTCTTACATTCATTCTGATATGTAGCCTTTTTACATTCATTTGGCTTAGGCACTCTGCAAAAACACTTACACACTGCACCTCAGCTTTCTTGTAGCAGGGAAAATGGTTACTCCTGACATAATTACTACGGTCCCTAGAGGTTAACAAATTATAAGATATACTGTAAATGTTGATCATAATAACCTACTGGCACAGACAACATACAGTCATTTTTTTTACAGCAGGATAGTCTCTGAAAATCTTCTGTCATGTAAACTGCCATAAGCCACTGACTGTTGTGTAATACAAAACTCAATCCAAACATTTCACATTGTAGTCTTTCTAGATTAGTGTGGCTGCAACACACTTAAGTTGTGAAACAGTATTAATGGTGGCCAATAAAGACAATGGAATCACTGTTACCAAAGTACCTCAATAACCTAACACTGGCCGAGCTCTACTGGAAATATCATTATGTTGGTATGTAGCCAGTGAGTCTTGTATTAGACTCATCTGAAACAGGTGAAAGAGAGGTACTGTACCATAGCAAGGTATCGCCCACTGCTATTCAAAAAAGATTTAAGACTAGCTTTCATTCTAATCTCTCTAGCTCTAAATCACTACTATCACCCCATTCTACCTCTCCCCCACAACTGAACCCTTCTACACAAGTCTGCAATCACATAACTCCAGAAGCAGGAAGGAAGTGGGGCTACAAGGAGCAAACACCCACTCTCACTCAAGGAGACTTACTGACCTCTAAAGAGCATAAACCAGATGCTGTACATCTGAAGGACTCTGTTGGGATAGCAGAGAAAGCTCCTCATCTGCAGGCAGTAAGCTGCCACTACAGGTACAACCCTCATCAAGTGATGGGGCAGGTTACTAAATTATCATTATTACTAACTCCACCTCCCACACATCACTGCAAGCAGAAAAATATTTGGACATAAGATAAATACAGCAAAACACAGACACACATAGTGTAAAAACAATCTTGACACTTAACCTTACAGCTAGTAGAGTTCAGTAGGGAGACAGATGGTGTGTATAGTAGACATAGGAGGGGGCTCAATTTGTCTGTCTTAAAATCCCTGAGCAGGAGTTGAAATAAAATTGGATGAGCCGAGCCAAACTGAGCAGAGGTGTTAAGATTTTAAACTCTGTCCCCAACTGATCCCACAAGACAACAAACCTCTGTCAGGGATAGAGAGAAGGAGAAATGGCTAAACAGCAGCTGTCTAGAGGAGAAAAGAGACCCAGAGAGCAGTTGCATGGCTCTGCTGGTGGAGGGCGGATTAAACAAAGTGTTCAGGTTGAGCAGAAGTTTGACTTCGGCTGAACACCCCTGTGGTGCACGCGAGATGCTACATGTTGCACACACTACACTATTGGTCTGTGCCACTGAGTGCACGAGATGAACTGTCATGCTTCTAAATCTGCCCAGAACAAATCGGAAATCTCCACATGACTGGCTGGTCACCGGTTAAGGCCGATCAAACTGAAAATTGGTCATTTTCAATCTCCACCGATCAATCAGTGCCTCTCTAATAATGCGTAAACTGGTAATGTTTAATGTTGGCTTCACTCAGCTACAGTCAGAGGTACAGAATACTTTAGCACTTAACTATAATATTTAAACTGCATCATATAATTACAGCAAACAAAATCCAATATTATATTGATTCATTATCCAGCAGTAATTACAAGTACTATTAAAAAGTATCAAGAAGCAGCAAGACTTAGTAATAACAGAGAATTATAATCTACTGAATATTAGCACAGAGGTTATTCATTGGTGAATGTTACATTTAAGTCAGCAATCATTCCTGTATATTATTAACACATTGGGGTCTCCTTTTTTGTAGTAGAGCCATTTTCATTGTAACAGTGTTAAAATCTGTAATCTCTGATCTGACAAAGAACAGATGCACTTGTAAGGGTTGTGTTTTATAGAACCCTACAACAGTGCAACAGATTTTCCAACCCTGATGGAACTTTGTCTTAAATGAAAAAAAAAAACATTTTTATGATTATAACGGGTAAGAGTACCAGTATTCTAAATAAACCTCTGGACAATGCCAGGCCAGCCACAAGTATCTGTGATTTCACCAGGCCTGGAGATGTAACATTCATCCATAATGTTAGTCATGTTTCACCTGCACACTCAACTTCACAGGACCATCAAGGGGAAGCAGAGAAGATGGGCCAGAGGCGACCATACATATTTTATTTGGAAACCTGAGGCCTAGTCAGTAATTTCCCAAAATGACTCTAATAGTAACTGACAGTCTGGCTTGCTACTTTATCCTCATAAATTTCCAGGACGAAATGGGCTAAGGTAACCGGTTAAAGGTTTGGACATAATAGCGCACAAGCTCTTATCCACCAGAGCAGGACTTAATGTTTGTCCTGTTCTCCTTTTGTCCTTTTGCACTTGCTGGGTGGAGTCTTCTAGGTGTGTGCATGTTTGTGTGTGTGAATGTAATCAGCCATTAAGTGAGACGGAGAGGATGATAGTGGGGGCAGAGGCGACGACTCAGCACTGACAAACTTGTCACATTCCTCGGCCTGACATCACATGTTCATCCACACACCCCTCAGAATGAAGGAGAAAACAGCAATACCTATATCTATAGACTAGATTACTCTGTGCTGTTAGACTACTAATTTGCAGCCATGTGTTCTTCATTTTGCAGGTCACAAAATGAAATGAAAACAGTCTGGTTTATTTTCCAACTACAGTTTTACAAAGTCCAATCTAGCTGAAAAAACAAGCTTTAAGAGTAAGCAAGGCCAAATTACAGTAAGTTTTTTTCTAATTTGAAATTAAGTTCAAGCACCGCTTCTAGTTTTGTGCATACCACCAGTCTATATTGACACTGAATTAAAGATACACTATATTCATTTTAAGACTGGGATAAAGGCAGACATAATAGGCAGATTTGTGCAGACACAGTCTTGCATTATAGATGGTAGTCTTAGCCAAAGGATCCCTACCTGGCTCGTGGCTGGCTCCGGTGGCCAGGGCGGGCATGGCTACTTATGGCTGTTTCCTGGTTCGCCACAAGCTGTGGAAAGTGGCAGCAGGGTGTCAGAATAGTGGGCTTCTCGGGAGCTTTCCCTAGATACCAGCTGAATGTGAGAGCAGGTTTATGCCATGAAGCTCTGAAAGACACCAAGATTTCACATCTTACTTGTCAAATAGCAGAATGGCCACATGCACATGCATGCTAGTGTGGCATCAATTTCAGTGTGTATTATGGGATCTCATAGCCCATAGGCATGGATATGAATATCTGCCCTTCTAGCAAATGTATGCATTTCTGTGTAGGTGAGTCAATCATTGATGGTGAATGACTCACAAGTGAGTGTGTCCGTGGTGACAGTTGACAGCGGGTGTTTACAACCCAA